GCAGGGTAGACGAGTATAACGAAAATACATGTCCAATTACCTGAAAATAAATTTATGCTGTTGTGAATTGTCACCTTCATAGCATATTTACTTGTGACTTCCATAACTCCGCTATATCCAGTTGTACCGTAAATAACAACTCCTTGACCCTCCAACTCCTTGACCCTCAGGCTAACCGCTGGTGATTTTTTTCTTTTTAAATTGATGCATTTCACGTTAAAAGTTATACACTAGTTGTACATTTCGGTGGGTCACATATTTGACAGTCCACACGGTGTATACAAATGTTCAGCAATGTGCCAACATCTCCAACATAGAGCGGACATTCTAGCACGACATTGTGTGATACTCGATTCTAATTGGCTGAGAGCTTATCAAAACCGTACTTAAATGGCAGTTTAAGACCGCTAATTAAAGTGACCGATTCCCAGCGTATGAATACAACGAACTCGTTGACCCTATTGTTTGTAAACAAACATGTCGGACATCGGCAATTTCTACCTCGGCTGCATCTTTGGTGTTTTTGAAGTAAAAAACGAATGGTTTGAAGAAGAATTTCTTTACCCTAATCCCAGTGAAGAAACTACGAAGCTGGAAAATCCGTCAGCAGCGCAAAAGCGTCAGTATATTCAAACCGGGTCCAGATCTAGCGGACATGACGTCGACAGCACAAGTCCGCCCACACGTCCTAACCTGACCGCTTCCACTTCCACTGTCCATGTGTCCAACATAAACGTGGCATGTCAGGTCCTTTCCAAATTAGGAATAGTAGGGTGGTTATCAACAATTATTTCCGTGAATAAAGTTAGCGGCAACTAAAATTGGGGCGAGTCGATTGTCATACAGTAGGGGAGATCAATAATTCGCTTGAGAAAAATCAATTAATTGTACTTGCTCACAGTGTATACTGTATTTTTTTATATTTATGTAGGCTACTTGTTACAAATACCAATCGTACTTGTTCCTGAAATAAAGCATTTATGTTGTTGAAAATGTCTTATTTTGTTCATTACACAACATGTCCATCAACGGGACGATTCCAAGCGATTTCCAGGAAAAAGGCCCCTTCACGCCTTGTGTTCTTGGGCGCCAAACAGTTCGGTTTTAAAACGTTTATCAGTCGTGCTTGAATGAAGATAAAGCTACTCTGTTTCAATTTTGAGTTCCTTTATCGTTGATTTAAGACCGCTAAATGTTTAATTTAAAACCTCACGCTTACGCGTTCGGTTTTTAAACTACATTTAGCGGTCAAATCAACGATAAAGGACCGCAAAATTGAAAACAGAGTAGCTTTATCTTCTAAATATATGTCACGCAAAAGTGGGTCACATATTTTACAGTCCACATGATGTAAATAAATGTTCGGTAATGTGTCGACAGCTCCAACATAGAGCAGACAATATATATTATACATACAAACGTACTTCGAAAGCATGAAAACAAATATTCAGTCGAACAAAATCAAAACATCGTCTGCTTTCCGATTAAAAAAATAGCAAGAAAAATATGTTTACGTTGAATCTATGTTATGTCAAAATAGATTAAGCAATAGACTGCTACATAATTTCCGTATTAAATTTATGATCAGCTTTCGTCAATGATATCGCCACTGATCTTGAGACGGTAGCGGAGGATGCATTAACATCGAACGCCGAAGAAATTTTAATGCCTTCCATCCATATAAATAAGCAGTTGGGTTATCAATTTAAACAAAATGATATATTTTTTAGAAATTTGTACGGTTTCAAATTTAGCGGTAGTAAAACACAATTACAAAATCTGCAAAATTCACTGAAAAACCGTTCTGTTTAGTCCAACATATTTTTTTCTAAAAATATAATATCCTTGAAAACACTATTTAGCTTAGTCATGATCCCTCTGGCCATTACACTGCTTGATCTAAAGTAGTCTATTAAAGTATAATTAATTACCTTAATTATAGTTTGGCATGAAATGCATGTGGACCCGGTTTTTTGTAAATATCTCTTCATCCAATGATCCAATCGATCTCAAACTGTGCAAGTGGATGTTTTGTCAGACAACCTAATCACATTGTAAATCACCTATTTTATGCATTTGTATTAAAGAATCTGTCTATGTAACTGTCAACAAAATAAACAGCAGAATGCAGACTGCTTGCAGAGGAAGGGGGCCAATGACCTGTAACAGCGGCAGTGTTTGGTCATAAAGGTCAACGTTCGTCAATGTAGGTCAGCTATGCACGTGACATATGCAATTTGTAGGTCAGTTCAGATGTTGGCCTAGGTAAACCTTGGTTGTAGACATAAATGGTAGTTGTGAGATAGGTAGAGGGGCAGAACACGACATCCAATAATTTCAAACAGGCAAAATGTTTATGTCAATGGGGTTTCCTCTAGACCAATAGACTTCCAGGGATAGTTTGCGCTTTTCCTGTAGTATAAAGTGATGTCTATCCCTTTTTCCACGATTTTTGTTTGCACATTAAAGTTCTTGCGGAGTTCATATGCCCTATTTGCAAGCTTGACCCTGATTTTTTTCAGGACGACAGGTAGGTCGCTTCGGATTGTTATTTTCCGTCCGCGAAGAGTAGAAGTGGTTTTATAGACAGCATTCATCACTGACTGTCGATCAAACATGCTGACGAATTTTACCACAGTCAGTTTCGGCATTTGTGAGGTTCTAGGATTGGTACTCTGCCTTGGCAAACGATGCACACTCACCAACTGCATTTTGTCAACATCCGATAAGCCAAGTGTTGTAAAAAGTTCAATACATTCCATTCTTACAAATATGTGTGTTGCATATATATAACCTATGAATTAGACTGAGAAATATGCTTATGAACATTATTTCAGTTATCGTGGAAGGCACCAGTGTGGAGACAGTTGGGAAGTACATTGCACTTGGCAGCTCAGGACAACAATCAGTCAAGCTTCTATTGTTCTGGAACTCATTTCTCGACTTTCATTCTTTGTATTATGAGTGAGTGAGTTAAGATTTAACGTCACATCGGCAATATCGCAGTCATATCGTGACGAGAACAATGTAATTCATATCAATATAAAAAAACCCATTAAATTGAGAAAATATAAACCTGTCATCGAAGGACAGTAAAATAACTAGAATATCACAGCTCTTAATTTAAAACTAGTACGCTATCATAAAAAGATATCACTATACCCAAACAATACAATATCAAACCGGGCTATAGATCACCAGCAACTGAAGGCTGATCACCATACTAGGGACCATGGGGACTTACAGTACCTTTGCTACCTGCATGGACCCTAGCTGGGTTTACACCATCTCTTCAGCAGCTGACGATTGTAGAAAAATTAGCCAAGTTTAAAATCACAAAAATACTACGATGTAAAAAGGTTGGTAAGTTTAAATATACTTTGAAAGTTTTGGTACTTATCAGGAGGACAATAATTTTACAGTACTTTAACACCCCGTGAGGATACAGCCACTAACAATCTGAGTTATTAATTTAAACTTCCCATCATGAAATATTTATCCAAATACGTTAACAGATCTAATTCTTTTAAAAATGCAATAGGTAGTAACTGATAGTAGTAAAAGATCCTTCATAGTTGGAGATTTGAAATAGATATCCCTTGTGATGGAATATTCAACTTTGTATTTGTACGACGACTTCCTGATACGATGTACTTTCCAATTTGTTTCAGCCGTTCCCTCTTGCAAATGCATGTAAAAACAATAAGTGCAACAACACAAACGAATACTGGTAGTCCTATAGCAAGTCCCAGGGTGAGGTCAGTTGGCGATGATTCAGTAGTAGAAGTGGTACTTTTGGGTGTTGTCGACCCCTCAGATGGAGATGGTGTTTCTTAAATAGAAAAATGAAAATACGAAGGCACTACTCGCGTATATGTAACAAGTTCTCAACTAAACGACATCAGTTACACTCGAAAGTAATTTGTCGCATTTTGAACATAGGTGTTTGAAAAATATGCTAAAGCAATGTGTTTGGTCTTTTGTATGAAACACATCCCAACAGACATAAAAACTATGATGCTGTTATTGAATTGCCTCGAATTAATTCACAGGTTTTCTTTCACAAACTCAACTTGAAAAAAACATGATTTGATTTTTAGTAGTTGAATAATTGAATGGTATTTTCACCATGCCATGCGATTTTGAAGATACGGTTTTGTTTCAAATGAAGTTTCCAAGATATGAGATATTTATAGTATTAATATTCCTTCACTGGGAAATATCAAGGTTCGGATTACTTATATCAAAATATGCTTAATTACCAGCCAAAGTCAAAATACATTGATACATTTTAAAACTACATTGAATCTGACCACCAAGTTCTTTTTCCCTCGACGGACACATTGATGTGTCCTCATTCAAACCTTGAGACACCCAGGAACGGGTGAAGGCATTAGCTGTCGACATGGCTGCACAATACATGCAGAGATTTCAATAAAGGCTCTGAGTGCCACCAGAAAGATGATATAAGGCGTGATGATGAATTTGGCCTCCATTCTAGTGATATTATATTACTTTAACGTTCCAGGAACATTGCTGTAATGGTGTATTATCTCAATCCCTTTCGACATCGACCTAAAATGCTTTTCACTCACCTGTCTACTCTCCCGTGATTACAAACCGATTTTCACAAATATTCTCTCAACCTAAAAGGATTTCGACATCTCTGTTCTAGGTAACCTGGATATTTACTTTGTACAGAGAAATAAGAATAAGCATGTTTTCAGACGTTAAATCTTCCTTGCTCTTGTCCACTGATTTGAATGTTGTCAAAGAAGATAATAATAACAGACTCTTTATTTGTAACCGAGGCGTCCAATTTCGAAATTCGTTACACATTCTGAAGTGTAATAATGTTGAATGTTGTCACATCAATCAACCTTTCTTACACAGAGTGGATTTGAATTTTGAAATCGTTTTAGAATTATGCTCGATGGTTCTTTAAATGATTTCCCCTGTATAAACATCTTACATTGATAGCATTACAATAGAGGACCGACCTGTGAGTTTAGAAACTCCACCGCAAGAGAGTGTTCTGTTGCTGTTGTCACATCTGAATGTGACACTGACGTCTCCAAAGCGGTCAGATGTGACGTTGAAGGAGTGGTGCTGGACAGTGTCTGTGATGTTGTTCGTTGTCTGGTTCTGTAACAAGACGTCTGTGACGCTGCCAGTTGTGAGATCAAACCCAGCTTGTTGAGAACAGTAGTACCCTCTGAGTTCCAGTGTCAGGTTGAGATTTGTTCCAAGATCTAGAGCGTTGGTGTCTGAGTCGCTGCTGATGTTGCACTGTGGTGGACCTGGTTGCAGTAGATGAATAATATCAAATGTAATGAAAAGGAAAGTTTCAAATGGATGAATGAATGAATGAATGAAGGAAGGAAGGAATGAAAGAATGGAGGGAGGAGAGGGAGGGAGGGAGGGAGGGTGGGTGGATGGATGGATGGATGGATGAATGAATGAATGAATAAATGAATGAATGGGAAATAAACATAGCATCTGAAGAGGACAATATAATTCATCAGAAAGCATTACTGTGCATTAATGCCAAGAACATAAATAGAGAAAATAAATGATTCAAGTACTATGTTTTAAATGCGAATAACTAATGATGACCAACCAGAAATGCAAACTCACTTTTTAACAACCTTTGAACTCCACGACAGCTCAGATTATAACTAGTGTCGTCACACGTAAACCTCACTCTGACGTCGCCAAGACTTGAAAGGTTTATACTGACGGTTTTGTTAATAACGTCGGAAGTGACGCCACTGACGTTGTGGTTCACCTTCAGCGTCTCCAAGACAGCGCCAGTAATAAGACTCAAGCCAGTTAGTTCGGAACAATAGTAGTCGGTCACATTCACTGTGAGTAGCAGGGCCGTGTCAAGGTCAAGAGCGTCAGTGTCCCGATCGCCGCTAACGGTACATTCGGGAGTTTCTGTTGATGGAAAATATGCTCAATGTTATAATACTTCAAACTGACATTATGAATTTGGTCAGGAGCAGATTGACATATAACCAATTTATTCGTAAACTGTCAAACATTCACATACACATATTACATCCGCAACATAAAAAACTGCACCTTCCATCGTAACCCATGTTTACATTTCGAGAAGTATTTGTCCTCGACATTTACCTTAGGTACGGCAACATGCATTTTTTTCTGACGTCGTTAACAATATATATATTCAACGTGCGGTTGCATACCATGTGCTTCGTTATGATATGTTCAGACAAAGTCATCTAGCAGACAAACGACCTGGAACGTTATGCTAGTGCATGTGGGTAACTTTACTTTTCACCCTTAGGGTATTCACGACACGATCTTTAACAGAATGACGGCATATTATCTGGACGTGACACACGCAAGGACGCACGCATTTTTAGTCCTATAAACATGTTGATATGCTTAAGTCATTTTTCTGCAATTGGAATCTAAATTTATGAGTGCTCCACCTGTTATAATCTTGACCATTATACTTGATCTTGATAAAATAATTATTTCCACATTTGTCTCTGAGTAGTAATGTCACTTCCGCCATCTTTACTGCTACAAATTTTACCTTAGGTCAACCCTGGGGCAGCCTTTAGACTTAAGATCAGATTTGGTTTGAGACTTTAGATGTTTTCACAGATTGAGTGATCACGTGATCTCCGATTGAAGACACGCGTTTGTCTTAATGAATTTCATGAATTAAGACGAAGTATGAACTTTCGACAGTTTCATGGTCCAGAGGCTAATCCAAAAGCAGTTTGTTTTAACCCCGCTACATGCACTATTTCAAATGTCTGTATAACGTTCAGTGACAAGACAGCCATATTATTACGTGAACATCGATCAAGTCAGTTGAGATACAAACAAGTCATTAGGAGAATCACAAAGTCCGACCTTTTAGCCTATTCCGAAAATCATAGGTTCATGGCCACATCTTTTGATCAATATCATTTCGGAGTGTATTGTGTAAGTACTCACGTGCTACCGTCAGCTTACACACGCCCACAGCACCCGTTTCATCTGCGTTCCTTATGTTCCACGTCCCGGCATCTATATTCCCAACACTTTCGATGGTTAGTATAGAGGATGGATCGTTGGTTGCTCTGTATCCGGCCACAGAGCTGCAGTTGGGGTTGCACGTGACGACATAAAGGTCATCACTTGGTCGAACCCATACAAATCCTGTATAGTTGCTTCTGTCACCTACAATAGTGTAGTTTGTTCCAAGATGGCCAACACCACCCGGACATGTGGAATCTATTTGAGCAGCACCTGGAACATAAGTTGTTGAAGGGATTGCTAGAAAATGAAGAATAGTAAATATGTAAGCAGCTGACAGTGTTCTGATCCGTTGTAGGTTTTAATTATATAACAGAGCCGTCTACTGAAGACCATTGTAGGAATATAATGTTTGACTGTAACTTTGTCGCGGAAATAAAGTTACCTTCTTTAGAAAAAATAGCTTAAGATTCCAGAATTAAGTTGTACTTCTTTGTATTCATTTTCGAGTGTCCGGGGCACAGACTCATGACATGCGTATGTGTAAGGAGGAATGTTGATCTTTTAAAACCCGAATCATTTTCATACTATTTACTAGGTGATTCTTACATTTACCTGGACGGTACTTTACGTCCATGTTAACAATACTTTACACCTGCATAGATGATATACTTCACATAGTTGTAAGTTGATGGTACTTTACTTCACGTAACTGATGCTTTACTTCTACGTAGATACTTACTTATAGGTTGATGATACTTTACCTAAAGGCAGATGATACTTACATCAAGGTAGAAGATACTTACATCAAGGTAGAAGATACTTACATCAAGGTAGACGATACTAACATCAAGGTAGAAGATACTTACATCAAGGTAGAAGATACTTACATCAAGGTAGAAGATACTTACATCAAGGTAGATGATACTTACATCAATGTAGAAGAAACTTACATCAAGGTAGAAGATACTTACATCAAGGTAGAAGATACTTACATCAAGGTAGAAGATACTTACATCAAGGTAGATGATACTTACATCAAGGTAGAAGATACTTACATCAAGGTAGAAGGTACTTACATCAAGGCAGATGATACTTACATCAAGGTAGAAGATACTTACATCAAGGTAGAAGATACTTACATCAACGTAGAAGATACTTACATCAAGGTAGAAGATACTTACATCAAGGTAGATGATACTTACATCAATGTAGAAGAAACTTACATCAAGGTAGAAGATACTTACATCAAGGCAGAAGATACTTACATCAAGGTAGATCATACTTATATCAAGGTAGAAGATACGTTCATCTTTGCAGTTGAGACGCACATTTAAGTTTTGATTTTATCATCTGCTGTGTCATCTGCTTAATTACAGATTTACTAATATGCAAGGCTTTAGTGAACATCTGGCTTATTAATAATGACCTTTATATGGCTTTCAAAATTGACATGCCTTATTGAGGTGATATCAGAACATCCAATATCGTAATTTTTAAGCTCCCATGCGTATGTATCTGGATAATACATGATAACCCTCCAACTTTGATAATAAATCACAAGGAACTACACATATTCTGGTACTTGAATACAATTATAAACATTATAACCCCTACCTCCTAATGATACAAGATGTTTAAGTGTATCATATTTACTTACAATGCAAATTGTAGTGTTTATTGTGATGGCATCCGACAATGCTGGCTGGAAATTTTAATTGCAAGGAGACATCGCAATACCAAATAAGGGATTTGGATAACATGAAGCACTTAGAGAGAGGATGAAAGCATGTGTAAATACTGGAGTAATTCTATATATTCTAACGTTACTGCACTTGTTGTCATTGAAATATCTGAGTTGAATTAACGACAAGCATATAATAAAATATGATTACAAGATAACTTTTGCCAATCTTTTGTTCATTTTGTAATGCATTAGAATTTAAAAAGCACCTCCGGCGGTGTCGCCCATACCAGTATGTTTACCAACTAGTCTCTTCATGGCTATGTTACACAAACTGATCTCATCACCACGAGAATGAACTGGGATCTTCCAACGGAAACACAGTAATTTGGCTTCTTGATGTCAACAATGTATATAATTTAATTTCAGAACAGATATTCTAGCAGACCACATTAAGTCACAAAGCAGACTTTGTTGCCAGATTACTTCTCTACTGCTAAACATTGCGATAAAGGTTACTGGAGACCGAAATCCTGACTGTGCCAATACCTAACTTATATCGAAAACATTGTAAACAAACTATTCAAAAACACAACTACCAACGAAACATGCAAAAAAAAGAAAGAAGAAAAGTGCAACATTGGAACTAGCGCAAAACTGATTGCCATTTAGACTGGTGAAGAATTAATTAAATATATGAAATATATTGCCAAAGAATTGAAAACAATGGAGGACTGCAATTTTAAAACATGTATGATATGAAGAAAAATCAACTACTTACTTCTGCAACTTAGAAAACATAAAACCAATATACTCTTTAGAATACCAATCAGAACATATCAAATGCACTAATACACAGGCAACATACCTATCCTTGGACCAGAGATAAAACAGACAGATGGAATTTTCATTACAAAAATATATAAATAAGCATAGCAGTACATTTAACAATATCCGCTTTGTAAGCGTATGAAATCATACCCTCAGATACAATTGCTTGGTTGTGCAATCTAAAGCCCTGCGATCACTTGCAATGTATCTGTTTCTATAACTGTAATGTTTTGATATATCAGTTCTCATAATCAAATATATCTGTTGAACGAAATCAATGTGAAAGCTGATAAAATTTACAAAGCAAAACTGTAAACCGTTGTGATAACTGAAGTTCTGAATATTGAATCTGGCGTCTTCTCAGAATGTAGCATGAACATTAAAGTACTTACCACTGATAAAAAAACCAGCCAGACCCAGCAAAAGAAGTAGGTGATTTTGATTGAGCATTGTTTTCAACTGAAAACGAAAATAAATAGTGAGATTAGTATATTCTCTTCCCACGTTAGTGACATAGTTATAATATGGGAACTGTTGACATGTGCAAACATTCACATATCATATCAAATATCATGCTGTGATATGCAGTACGTCCAAACGTGAAAATCTTATGTTGTTCCCATTATTTAATCGGTATCATAATCAAAACAAGTTTCATCGCAGAACACTTTGACGTAATACTATCATTGTGAAGTTGATGCATAACCCTTCGTGTTCAGGACAATCCAGAATAGTACATGTGTCTGTCTTTAGACTGTGGGAAGAAGTTCAAGTTTGAGATGGCCAAGAAAGTACTCTGCCATGATGTCTGATGTAACTTGTGTTCCAGATCACCAGAGCAGTTTCAAGAGTATACCACATTATGCCAAATGAAAGTGTTTCATTCACAATAGTGGAATGGTCGCATACCAAAAGGTTGCACAACTCTAGACATTCCATCACGAGTCGAACTTGAACCTTATGAGGCAGGGTAGTGAGCTGGCCAGGGTGTAATGCGTTGGCTCGTCACTCTAACGATGCAGAATTGATTCTCGTATGTGTACAAAACGCGATTCCAATTTCCCGTTGTAGCTGCAGTGATATTGCTTGAATACTTCTAAATGCGGCATCATATGATACACAGTTACTTTTAGATTCAAATATGTGACAAACAGCAGAATTATCCTTGTTTACCAGGGGGAAAAACCAAAACACTTTTCAACGTACATAGCGGATGAAATTTCAGAAGGTATGTTTGACGACACACATATCGATCTGGTCGTGTGACTTTAAGAAATATCTTAATATCTAATTTACGTAAGCACCGTTCGATATTAACAATGACAAGAACATTATACTCCAGAATATTTAAATGTAACAACAATTACATTCATGAATCTATCCCCTGCTCCATTTTTCAACATCCTAATACATGTGAGTAATATCGACACAGGCACATCGAACCCTTAGATACTCTCTTATATAGCTCACTCCTGTGCCAATAATATCATATTTCCTTTTGTATATTTTGTAAATTTACTTGTTGTCTTAAGAAATATATATGCACATATGTATCGGTCTGTAAAACTGAAATGTAGCCTCCACTACAAAGAAAATAGGAGTGATATATATTTTCTTACCAGCATGAAGTGAATTGGCAGAAACTTAGTCTCATCAAAACGCTCTCATACATGTTTGCTAACAGTGTGATAGTTTGGGGGATTACGGTTGATTTACCCGGCTGACATCAGCCTTTTTTATCACGAGCTTTATGCCCTTTTTCTTTGCGGACACTCACCGTGGTTAGACAGCAACCGTGTCACTGTGATCGTAATAAAACACACCAATGTCATACAGCACACGATGTCATACAGCATACGGTGTCATATAGCACACGATGCCATACCGCACGCGATGTCATACAGCATACGGTGTCATATAGCACACGGTGTCATACAGCACACGGTGCCATATAGCACACGATGTCATACAGCACATGATGTCATATCATAAAACACACCATGCCATAAAGCACACCATGTCATACAGCACATGGTGTCATACCATAAAGCACACTACGCCATACAGCACACCATCTCATAGAGCACACGGTGTCATATCATAAAGCACACGATGCCATACAGCACACCACGTCATACAGTACACGATGCCATACAGAACATGTCATGCAGCACATGATGTCATATAGCACATAATGCCATACGGCACATAATGTCGTACGACACATAATGCCATACGGCACATAATGTCATACGACACATGATGTCATATAGCACATAATGCCATACAGCACATGATGTCATACGACACATGATGTCATACAACACATAATGTCATACGACACATGATGTCATACAACACATAATGCCACACGGCACATAGCGTCGTACGACACAAGATGTCATACAAGACAAAATGTCATACGACACATAATGTCATACAACACATAATGTCATAGGACACATGGTGTCATACAGCACATAATGGCATATAGCACATAACGTAATACGGCACACGATGTCATACAGCACATAATACATTAATCACATGATGTCATACGGCACATAATGTCACACGGCACAAGATGTCACACAGCACGTAATGGCATATGGCATATGGTATCATACAGCACATAATTGTCATACATCACACGATGCAATACAGTGCATGGTGTCATATCATACAACACACGTTGTCACAGAGCACACCCTGTGACACAGCACAAAATGCCATAGAGTACACGATGTCACACGGCATACGATGTCATACAGCACACGATGTCATATAGCTCCCGATGTCATACATCACACGATGTCACGCAGCACACCATGTCGCACGGCACACGATGTCATACTGTACACAATGTCATGCAGCACACGATGTCACACAGCATACGGTGTCATACAGCACATGATGGCATACAACATACGATGCCATACAGCGCATGGTGTCATATACAGTACACGATGCCATATAGCATACGATTTCATAAAGCACATGATGTCAAATCATACAGCACATGTAATACAGCATACGATGCCATAGGGCACACGATGTCATATATCACATCATGACATACAGCATACGATGTCACACAGCTCATGCCATACAGCACACGGTGTCATACAGCACATGTCATACATCACACGATGCCATACAGCACACGATCTCATACAGCACATGTCATACAGCATACGATGTCATATAGCACACGATGTCATGTGCCGTCTTGTAATTCACAGTCCTGTTTTGCGTGTGGCACGTGACAGCTTCGCGCATATGGAGTGAGAGGACGTGTCCGTAGCCAGATGTGTTCACAAATATTCAAACCTGGAGGTGTAGATGGATTTGACACAGGCCCCAGTAACATTTTGACAATGCTCAGAGGTGAGCACCTGTAAGCGTGGTCATACTGCGAATTGAACCCATGACTTCGGGTTTAAGATTAGGATAGATGTTTCAGAAACTTTTGTGGTGTGAAGAGAGAAGAGATGTTGGTTAGGAAAGAAGGGAATTGAGAAAATGTACCACGATAACAGCAGAGGGAGGGGGTAGTAACCCAGTAAGGGGCAGGGAGAGTGAAGATTTTGTATGCCAGTAAATTCACAGCAGAACCTCAGAAATGCCTATACCCGTTTCACCCATGTGGGGAAGAGAACTCGGGTCTTCAGTGTGATGAGCGGCCCCTAGACCCACAAGACTATCCAACCACCTAAGAATCCAGTAGTGAGTGAGTGAGTTTTGTTTTACGCCGCACTCAGCAATTTTCCAACTATATGGCGGCGGTCTGTAAATAGTCGAGTCTGGACCAGACAATCCAGTGATCAACAGCATGAGCATCGATCTGCGCAATTGGGAACCGATGACATGTGTCAACCAAGTCAGCGAGCCTGACCACCCGTTAGTCGACTCTTTCGTTAGAATCCATTAGGTGAGGTGAGATTTGGTTTAACGTCGTGCTTGAGAATATTTCGCTCATATGACGACGTGCATGCGTGGGTATGTGTATGTGCGGCTGGTTGTACTAGCCCAGACTTAAGCTGGTTTTATAGTGCTAGCCCACTGATATACCATTCCGCAGTGAAGCATGAATACCCCACTCAGACACATTATACTGACTCCGAGCCGACCAGTCCTTGATGTACCCTTTAATACCGAGCGCCAGGCAGGGACCAACAAGTACCATATTTTAACGTATTTTGGTATGATGCAGTCGGGGATCGAACCCGCGACCTTCCGCTCTCCGGGCGGACGCTCTAACCTCAACACCACGGAGGCGGTAAGGATCCAGTAGAGTATTACTGTAGACTATGCATTCCTAAGCAGTCTGGAAATTAATGAATGCCCCGAATACAGAGACTTCACTACGGTTATTTTACCCACCCTACTACAGCTACCAGTCTCAACACTTCCACGCCCCTACCTTCCACCCCCCGCCCCCTTCCCCTTCCCCATCCCCTTCACTCCGACCCCTTGTCATGTTTAAATGAAAAGACAAGATCCCCACAACAGGACTTTAATGTCTCGTGGTTATCTGGCTGGAGACAGTTGTCAATTATTGTCGTTTGTAGAACAGTGTTCTCGTATAACAGACATTGCGTCATTATGTATGGGAAGTAGGGTCATGTACTGTGGAACGCTATTCCTCGAGGAAGTCGCTCTCGCTTAGTCAGGTCAAGAATAACGCAGAGTCGTCACTCGAGGTAGTAGTAGTAGTGGTAGGAGAGGGGTAGTGTTCGTGTCAGCGTAGAGGAAATGGTTGGGGTCTGGGTTGGGATTGGGGTAGATGCAGGGGTAGGTTGTAGTGTAGGGGTAGGGGTAGAGGTTGGTGTTGTGACAGGGGTAGGGGTAGATGCAGGTGTAGGGGTAGGGGTTGGGGTAGATGCGGGTGTAGGGTAGGGGTTGGGGTAGATGCAGGTGTAGGAGTAGTTCTATGGATGGGATATGGGTAGGTAAGGGTAGCGGTATGGGTAGGGTTTTGCTATGATAGGGAGTAAGGGTACGGGAAGGGGTTGGGGTTGTGATAGGGGTAGGGGTTAGGGTTGTGATAAGGATAGGGGTTGGGGTTGTGATAGGGGTAGGGTTGGGGTTGTGATAGGGGAAGGGGTTAGGGTTGTGACAGGGAAAGGGATAGAGTTGTGATAGGGTTAGGGTTGAGGTTGTGATAGGGAAAGGGGGTTAGGGTTGTGATAGGGTTAGGGGTTGGGGTTGTGATAGGGTTAGGGGTTGGGGTTGTGTTAGGGGTAGTGGTTGGGGTTGTGATAGGGAAGGGGTTGGAGTTGGGGTTGTGATAGGGATAAGGGTAGGGGTTGATGTTGTGATAGGGTTAGGGGTTGGGGTTGTGATAGGGTTAAGGGTTGGAGTTGGGGTTGTGATAGGGTTAGGGGTTGGGGTTGTGATCGGGGTTGTGATAGGGATAAGGGTAGGGGTTGGGGTTGTGATAGGGTTAGGGGTTGGGGTTTTGATAGGGGTTGGGGTAGAGACCAGGGTCGTGGTAGGGGTAAGTTGTAGTGGTAATGGTGGAGGTACGTGTAACGGTACCAGTAGTTATTGGTATAGGTATCCCATGGTGACATCACACAATAGAAACATGACAACGAATGCAGAAATATACAAAAGATGATAGTTGCAGCCATATTAGATATGAAAGGACGGTGCAGCAGAACGGCGGTACTCAATCAAGGTGTACCCACCCAGTTAGGATTTATCGTGTTCCGTTTGGGGCAACGTAAGTTAGTGTGCACAGAGACAGATATCGAAATACATGGGCAGACTGCCAAATATGGTCATACCGTTACAGGCGATCAAACACAGACAGATAGACAAAGAGATAAAAACAAACAAAGGCAAACATGCCGACACGCACACTCACTCACTCACAGACATGGGGGTCACACGGATATTGCCAGCATGTAGACGGTGACTAGCAGTATCACAGTGCCTTAACACAAGTGGTATAATTTAACCATCAGAAATATATATGATCATCGTAAAGTTTGTCTAAAAGTGTATATTCATTACTGGGAAACAAGTCTATTGAAAGGGGAAAATAGCACGTGCAATAACTGTTCAGATTGAGGGGCGATTGAAAGGTAGATTGCCAACAACTGCGGTGAAGAGAAAGGGTCTAACATTTGTGCTTTAGCGGCAACATCTGATACCCGTACACAGTTCCACCTTGATCAATGTCAAGCTCACCATTTTGACAAAACAGTATTAGTTAGAGCTCCAGGGATACAGTAAACTTATAGCGAACTACGGTTATAACGAACTCAATTTAGTGACTCAGTTAGCTGAAAGTGTACTTTACTGCATGGTATGTTCTATATTGTAATGGTCCATGGTCATGGCTGACAGAATTAATAACATCATTGAGTTTTTATCTTCATGCATTCAGTGATGAAGAAAGGCTAGTTATGTTTGAAAATATCTTGCAACATTGGTAGAATGATTCAGAAAATGAAGGTCTATGTATGCTTTCAACTGCTCTTTGTGCTGCCTTTCATACCGCTTGCCACAAAAAGTCTTCAGCAGCTGAGATCAGAACGGCCAGGAAACGAGATCTTCAATGATGGTACAAGCTTACCCGAAGCCAAGAGAAATATTCTGTTGTCTTCAGTACATTATAACAAAGCACGCATCATCTATCAAATCAGTTTAACTAATTAATTCAGACAGAAATTCTTTCAAATATAACCAGAAATGTCGACTATTCAGTTCATTGTGTTTTGACTAAACTACAACAGATCACTTTCTAATCTAACAGGTAAAAGTATGAGAAAATCTGCTGACATCTCAAACATATCATATGTGACTTTTGACAATTTTGTACATGGCATGCATAGCTTTTGACTGTGGCATCCGTGCCACTATACACGTGTCAGAAGCAGCAACAAAAAAAGGGATCAAGATAACCAGTTGCCCAGTTGTTGATGGTGTGGCTGGGTGGGTTAGATGGTTTACTTTGTGTGCTGGCGATTAGGTGCCTCGATCTGACATTTTGGGTTCGCATCTCACATGGGGTTCAGTCCAATAGAACGAACTATAATTTGTAATTCACTGGAAAGTTAAATCCCCAAATACTTCATGTGACAACGTGTACGTGTCTGAAACGGCAGAAGAATTCTCAAACTTGGTAAATAAACCATATATTAAAGCCTACCCACACATACATCCACATAAGTACATCTACAGCGTCATATCCACACACAAACACGCACATGTCCACATCAATATATATACACCCATAGTTATTCCCAGGTCCATACACGTCTACATCCATATCCACCTTCACCTATACCCATCCACATGTCTACACGCATGTACGTGTACACACATACGCACGTACTCAAGAACGCACACACAAATAAACATACAAAGATACACACACACACACACACACACACATAAGCATATACATACACATATACAAACACTCATTTACACATACAAACATTCACTCATTCATTCATTCACTCATACTTGCATCCACACATGCATAATTACAACCACACGTCTATATCTGCATCGACATGCACGCCTATATCCACATACAATGTAGTATGCAACGTGCCGCACAAAGCACTTCTGTATAACCTTACACAATATGGCCTTCGTATTGATATCTGTTCAGTAGCACACGCCGGTGTGTATTATGTGCTGTGTCAATGATGTTGAACACATAAATGAATATGAAAGTGTCTCACCTGTTTGGTTGAGCTGGCAATCCAGGACACGATTGTCTAGGTGAAGCCGGATGGAACGCCAAGTAAATCCCTCTGTGTACAATGACTGCTCTCTGGCTGTGGTTGACACCAATACAAGCAGTTGCATGTTTCTATTTCAGGGGTCGGGTAGGCTGAATGTGCTCAGCGTGCCCAAGGCAGATCGAGATCTTTTATCCAAAATTCGAATTTGCACCAAGACTATTGTTCAAAGCCCCGTTTCACAAAGCTCTCGGAAGCCTAAGGTTTCGTAACCTTTCTCGTAGCATTCGTACCTCCTATACTGCAACATTCACTTACGATAATCGTAGCGCTACGAGAGCTTTGGGAAACGGGGCCCTGGTTTGTAAGCACCACATCCTTCCTCGTGGGTTCCATCAACGTGGTGAACGTCTGAAAGCTGCATCACTTCAATCTTTCTTTCTGACACGCTTCATGATAATATAACTAGGGCACTGTTCAATGCGGAGTGAAGCCAAACCAAATTCAGGCTGGTTGGTTGGTTTGTTCCTTATTCTAGCTATGGTGGTGGTCTGTAAATAGTCGAGTCTGGACCAGACAATCTAGTGATCAACGGCATGAGCACGATCTACGAAATGGGGATGCGATGGCATGTGTCAACCAAGTCAGCGAGCCTGACAATCCCATCCTATTAGTCGCCTCTTCCGACAAGCAGGGGTTGCTGGAGACATATTCTCACCCGGATCTTCACCGGTCTCCAAATTCACGTCCTCCAACTGGATCTGACCAACCGCTAGATAACGGTTTTGTCATGTTTGTATGCAGGGAATCAATGAGTGAGTGAGTATAAATAATAAATAAAATATTTTTAAAAATGCTGAATCGTCATCATGGTAGTTAACTGTATATGGAGTTAACAGTCCGAGACAAAGAATTCTTTTGAAAATATAATGCAGAATGAAGTGGGAGACAATATGTATTTCAGAGATTAGCAAATCAGAACACGGGATTTGTCTTAGTCCTAGCTGGATAGAGTCACTCAATGTATGCTGTCATTGAATCTATGGTGAATGTGCTAACAAAACGTGGAAGAAAATAACAAAGTTCACCCTGTTGTTATCCTAAATCGCATATGCGTCTGTCCCATTGCCATTATTCTCTCATTTCATTAGTAGCAAACCCAACGACGTTTCTATTCAGGTTCTACATCTAAAATCATTTTAATCATTTAAAAGGAAAATGCACAAAAGTTAATTTTCAAATGAAAGATTGTTGCTTTTACATCATCAATATATTTATCGTTTTTCTGTTTGTTTGTTTTAAAACGATTAACGAAATGAATAAATTTGATTAAAACTCAAATATTTAATACCTGAGTTACGAAACACTTGGGATTTACTTCGTGTCACGTGATGCATGAACAGCCATAAATAACCTGGAGAGCATTACAACACTTGCCATCGCTACAAGGTACGAGCTAGGTATATGCATGACGTCACATACATGTTAGACATATTGACTGTATTAGGTGGTAGCTACATATACTGTCAGGTATTCCGGGGAATTTCTGTGCACTAAAGACACACCTTGGTCAATTCCCCGAGAAAAGCGACTCTGCGCCAGCTTATCTCTTCTGGAATTCAACTTTCGGGTGAACACAAGTAGCATGACTGTGACCACCCCGTTTATCTGTATATGCACTTGAAAGCATGGTTCCATATCGATTTACCCCGTGCAGCGTTATATGAATGAAGGCCTGTCGTAAATCATTAACAACAGAGCATATTTAATCTTTATCAGCACGCCATGAAAATTACGGAAGCCTTCAAGGGTCATACGTTTGTTTTGTGGTGTGTGGGTTTTTTTCAATATAAATTTCAAGATACAAAGTTAAAATTATAAGATATATGATCTTGATATTTCAAGTTAGAATTCTGGTTAGTTAGTATGTTGAAATATCAAATTAATATCTTGTAATTTCAAGATAAAATGGTCCTAAACGGCTTTCGTAATTTTCATTTCTTCTTTTCATCAACATATTATCTTGAAAGTTAACCTATCTATCTTGATGTTTCAGTTACACATCTTAAAATGTCTGAAAAAGAACAAAAATATCGAATGGCCCTCAGAGGCTTCCGTAGGCCTCACTACCTCCGTATGAAAGAGTGGTTTAGTATGTCAAGGATGTGAAGGCTAAATACTGCATGGAATGGTGAGAGATTCAACGCCGCTTGTAACATAACTTGTACATCACATTCATCTACAGTGGTTCCGAGGCGGTGGGGTAGCCCTGTGGTTAAAGCGTTCGCTCGCCACGCCGAAAACCAGGTTCGATTCCCCACGTATTTGGTCATGCAAGAGAACATCGTGTTCCATAACTACACTAGGGCATGTTAGGTCATACAAGAGAACAGTGTCTTCATTCAACACGCTAGTGAGTGTTAGGTCACATTTCCTTTTTCGTTGTTGCATGCTATATTGACTTCTTTGATAAATACAACTTAAGTCAATCAACTTTCCAGATCGAATATATGTCATCTTGTTGTGACAAAAATAACATTAAATTTAGAAAAGAGGTTTTGGATTGGAGAAGCAATGAGTGAGCGAGAGGTACCAGTGATTTTAACATTCTTCTAACAATGTCTCTGCCTTGCGACACCTGATTTAATGGATGCACGGTAAAGTAATAATGTCACTCCTCAGGAAGGTCACGATCAATTACCAATGGTAACACAGATCCGTATTTTATAGCGTACAGTGGAACTACCACGGTGCTTAAGGGATCATCTTGCTGAGTGCGGCGTAATACTAAACTGACTTAAGGGAACATAGCAGTTGCAGAACATAAACATATTATGCATATCAGTGATTACGTTTTGGTCCACATACCTACTACATACTGACTACGTTTACAATTCTGAAGATAATTGATCCGATTAATTGATTGATCTTCAGTAACCCATGCTTGTCGTAGGAGGCGACTAACGGGATCGGGTGGATTACTGGATTCTCTTGTCCAGGCTCAATTATTTACTGACCGCT